CCAGGGGATCCCCAGATCCCACCTGGAGGCTGTGGAAACTCGAGCTGCAGTGTTAGAAGAGTCAAACAACAAATATATACACTGCAAAAACCTTATTTATAAGTTAAAGTGTTCTGTATGTTCCATCTTATAAAGTGCATTGTGTATTACTGACGTTTGCTGCTGGTCCTGCTGGAGGCAGCCTTGAGAAAGACAGGAGCGCTCCGTCTATGATTGTCACCTCCTTAATGGGCCTTTTGTAGGACCAGCAACAAACGTCAATTTAAACTTCAACGTAACCACAAAAGGAAACTTTCCCCCTTTAGAAGACTTTCAAGCAAGGAGAAGCGGGTGCACAATTCTAGAAACTCCCGCTGGGGTTGGTTGTGTAAAAAGGATGTAAATTGACTGGCAGTTATTAGATTGTACAAACTGATTATTATTGTTGATATTGCATGTAATGAATATATATACCGGTTTTAGAATATTATGCATAATACACAATGCACTTTATAAGATGGAACATATAGAACACTTGAAATTATAAGGTTTTTGCAGTGTATATATTTGTTATTTGACCCACCTGGAGGCTGGAAGCTAACCAGGGGGCAGCCAAGAAAGGGACCACCAAGGAAGTCCTGGGTTCCGACGCAGAGGCAGGCCATGGCAAACCGCCTCTGAACACCTCTCGCCTTGAAAACCCTACGGAGGTCACTATAACTCAGCTGTGACTTGACAGGAGCGACAACCACGAAAGTCCACAACGACCACATTGCTCAATATTGGGGATAGATTTATAAATGCAAAGAGTGGAAAATGCAATACGCATGCAATCTGTGCAGACTGGCGTGAGTTCCCCCATTTTGGGGAGGGGGGGGAGCCTGAAGTTACTTGGCAAGTTAAGACCTGAAGAGAAAGTTTAGAAGCGGGTTCAATGATAAGACGTCTGAGAACCGCTGGCTTCGGTGGGCCCTCCAGGTGGGCCCACTGTGGGGTTCCATACAGATGTGCCCCCAAAACCAAGACCTTTCCCCCAGGACTGACAGCCACGTCTCTTTCTAATCTTGGGTAGGAAGACAAAGGCCGTGCCATGATCCATCTCCGCTTCCCGACAATATGTAATATGAGGGAAAGTGGACTAACAAAAGCCTTAAAAAAACACATTCTCTAGGCGTGGGAAGGACATCAATTACACGTTGCTGACATCTCGGCGCTTTTACAGTAAATCACGGTGCTTCTTATTCCCAAGGGCTCTGTGGTGGTTCGGCAGTCGAAAAAAAGAGTCTGTGCTAAGAAAAATCTAAGGTTGTCTGTGACGTGATTAAGCAGCAGTTTTATGGAGCAAGGAAATCAATTCCCTGATGTTTCACAAATATGCCCCCCCCCAAAAAAAACCCAAACCCCTAAGAAGCAAACGAAAACGTTCTACTAGATGATGAGATCTAGATCAATGCTCCCTCTACGCTGTGGAGTCTTGTGAGCAAAAATTCTACTTTGTGAGCTACTGGCATTCAAGTTGCGAGCCAGAGATTTGGCTGCTGCACACATTAGTTTGCTCTGGAGCCCTCCTTCCTGAGCTGAGACAAAAATGTGTGAGCCGGGGGCTAAAGAACTGTGAGCTGGCCCACACTAACTCAGCTTAGAGGGAAACACTGATCTAGACGGGCAGCCATGCTAGTCCGTCTGTAGCAGAAGAAAAGAACAAGAATTCAGTAGCACCTTAAAGGCTGACAAAAATTTGTGGCAGGGCACGCGCTTTTGTGAGTCACTGCTCACTTCACTCACAAACGGTCACACCCTGCCACATATTCTGTTAGTCTTTAAAGATGTTACTGGACTCACGCTCTTTTCTGCTTCTTCAGACCTGAATTTTCTTCCCTCTGGCGGTGAGCACCCTTTGCTCTGTCCCCCAAGAAACTATGTATTCAGAAGCACCAAACTTAACTAATGAGGCTTCTTCACATTTGGGGCTCCCTTCTGGGCACTGATACTAAAGTGTGACTGCTGCCCTTAAGGAGTAATGGACCCTTAATCCCAAGCAATTGACGCCTCATTAATGAGGCGCAAAGGAAAACACCGCCTTCCTAACTGTTGGGTATTACAAGTTGAAAACACTCAGTATATCTGGGGTTAAATGTTTGTTTATGTTACTCACAGGAAGTCACATGTTTCTCATGTAACCAATGTTTTTTAGCTGTAGGATGGCCCGGGAATTTTCTCCCTGATCTAGGGATTTGATTGGGACTAAAGTGTCAAGGTGTATTACCATTTTATGGCTTCTCTTCCCATCTTTGTTTGCTGTTCTGAAGAAGAAGTAAGAGTAGCCATAATCTCTCTACTAGTTTTGTCTTTGTAAAGTAAGGATGTAACGGATTTAGCTCTGTTGTTATTTTCATCCCAGTTACCCTTCCCCATGCTAGACTTTAGTAAAAACTTTATATTTTAATCACCCATGGACTCTCAGTCTGAATTATTTTACTCAGGTTCTGCTGGGCTGTATTATCTCTGCTAAATACCATTTTTTTCAATATCTCACTATCACCCAACACTGACCTTGCTGACTTCTACCGAGCTTCGAGACACGCGGCCTGAACTCCTGGTCTGCCTCGGTTACAAGAATCATTATCTGTTCTGTTCTGACCTGGATGCCCCGGGGCTAGTCTGACCTCCTCAGAGCTCAGAAGCTAAGCAGGGTCGGCCCTGGATAGTAGTTGGATGGGAGACGGCCAAGGAAGTCCGGGGTTGCTACGTAGAGGCAGGCAATGGCAAACCACCTCTGAACGCCTGTTGCCCTGTCCTGGATGGACCAGGCTGGCCCAATCTTATCAGAGCACAGACTCTAAGCAGGGTTGGCCCTAGTGAGTACTTGGATGGTGCTTGACAATCCAGATACAGAAATAACTGAACTAGTAGCAAAGTTTCTCTGCAGTGCCATGGTCCTACGGCCTGATGAGAGATATTATGAATTAGGTATTATGATGACGTTACTCTCCGATGTTACTTTGCAATTTTAATTTTACTCTGCATGGTTTTGTATTTAGATTACTGTATCTTTATTTATATGCCAATAAAAGGCTTTGGGTTGATTGAGTACTTAGATGGGAGACCAAGAAGAAGGCCACACAGACAGGCTATGCACAGACAGGCAATGGCAAGCCACCTCTATTAGCCACAAGGTATAGAAGGAACACTCTGTCTGGGGCAAGTGATGCTCTGCATTCTTGGTGCTTGGGGGGGGGGGGACACAATAGGAGGGATAGTGGGAGGGCTTCTGATCTGACCCCACTGGTGGACCTCCTGATGGCACCTGGATTTTGGCCACTGTGTGACACAGAGTGTTGGACTGGATGGGCCATTGGCCTGATCCAACATTGGCTTCTCTTATGTTCTTATGTCTGGGGCAAGGGATGCTCTGTATTCTTGGTGCTTGGGGGGGGGGCAACAGCGGGAGGGCTTCTGGAGTTCTGGTCCCACTGGTGGACCTCCTGATGGCACCTGGATTTTGGCCACTGTGTGACGCAGAGTGTTGGACTGGATGGGCCACTGGCCTGATCCAACATGGCTTCCCTTATGTTCTCTGCCCATATTATAAGGTGGCGTGTAATAAGATCACTCCGTCGACTGAAAAAATCCCAGGCCTCCCTGAAAAAGCTCAACTCGAGTTTCTTCTATCTGACAGAAATCCCAAGATCACCTACCAAGTAGCCAGTTCCTGTATGGCGATGCCCAGGTTATGGTAATGTTATGGTAGTCAGGTAGTTACGGTAGTTAGACGTTAGATTAAATTTTAGTCTTTTAATGTTTTATTGATGTTGTTTAAAATTTTGGAATATTGTAAAGGTGTACTTCTTTTTTTACAGTCTAAGGACTGTAACAACAAACCGAACTGAACTGAGCCACCTCTGCTCATTTCTTGCCTTGAAAACTGTACGGGGTCACCATAAGTTGGTCACAACTTGGCGGCACTTTCCACAGCATCATACAAAGGGCTGTGTCAAATCACAGGACAATCCTAGGCACAGTTACCACTGGGCTTAGACTGGACTAACTCCGCAAAGGACTGCCCTGTCAGACAACTCCACAAAAAGCTGTCAAGGAACTTGGAAGTTTTGAAGCGGGCTTCTCTAAAGGTTCTCTTTACTTTTGACCCTTGTACCACGGATCATGAGAAACGCCTCTGCAGGACTGTCCATTATGTGAAACAATGACCCATCCACGTGTGTGTGTGTGTGTGTGTGTGTAAGTGCCATCAAGTTGCTTACGACTTATGGCGATCCTATGAATTAATGACCGCACCCCCCCACAATGCCCTACTGTTAACAGTGCTCAATGCTCCCTCTAAACTGTGGGGTCTTGTGAGCAAAAATTCTACTTTGTGAGCTACTGGCGTTAAAGTTGTGAGCGAGCGATTTGGCTACTGCATAGATTAGTTTGCTCTGGAGCCCTCCCTTCCTGAGCGAAGATACGACAAAAATGTGTGAGCCGGAGGCTAAAAAAACTGTGAGCTAACTCACACTAACTCAGCTTAGAGGGAACACTGGTGCTCAGGTCTTGCAAACCAGGAGCTTAGTCCACCGAGTCAGATTTTAATTACGCAAGGGGGAAGGGACATAATAGGGATGGGGGGCTCCTCCCAGGGACGTTATTGTCCTGAACCATGTGGGCTCAGCTTTACAGAAATTTCTGTGGAGAGGTGCCCCAGGAAACCAAGGTCCCTGGCCGTAACCACACTGCTCAGGTATTAGATGAACTGGGTCTCCAAGTCATGAGTCCCAATAAAATCATCAAGGGTTACCAAGTCCCCCTTAATGGATTAGGGACATTATTTCTAAACCCTGCTACTGGAACAACGAGGCTCACTCAGCAAGAGATCTCTTTGTGTTGGGTTAAGGGCTTCTGTACAGGTGAGGATTGGGCTCGGGTATTTGGGGGAGACATCGGCTCAGACATCTGTACACGTTTCAGCACCACGGATCAACAGCACCAGACTCTAGACAGCAAACCGAGAACAGAATACTCACTCCGTGGCTCCCGCGGTCCATCCACTGTCACCTTGATAGCTCTGTGGTACGTAGCAACTTGGGGGGGGTTCGTGAGGACTGTTATCGTCAAAGTAAAGCTCTTTCCTACAAGGGAGGGTGAAAAGAGGAGGGGGTGGGGAGAAGAAGAGGAATGACTATGAGAATACAGTCGCACGTTTTCTCAAGAGAGAAAGAATTGCAATACACACACACACACCAAACTTAAAACTTCAAGCCTGAATGGAACACAGGCACATATTTCGCCTGAACGGACCACAGGCTTCTGTTTCATTCTGACACTTGGAACCTGGCCAAGTATTGCGAATTTAACATTTCTTGTTATATTATATGACAGAACGGTGGGGAAATAATTAGAGGCTCCACGGAGGCAGTGCCTCTGAACATCAAATCCATAACCCCCTTACGGCTTTGGGACAGGACACGGGGCAACGTCGCAGGAGACGACAGCTTCTGGAACCAGAACAAGACAGGTTCCTTATTGTTGGGTATTACAAGTTGAAAACACTCAGTATATCTGGGGTTAAATGTTTGTTTATGTTACTCACAGGAAGTCACATGTTTCTCATGTAACTAATGTTCTTTAGCTGTAGGATGCCCGGGAATTTTCTCCCTGATCTAGTAATTCGATTGGGACTAAAGTGTCAAGGTGTATTAGCATTTCATGGCTTCTCATCCCATCTTTCTTTGGTGTTCTGAAGAAGAAGAGTAGAAATAATCTCTCTCTTCTCGTTTTGTCTTTGTAGAGTAAGGATGTAGCCGATTGAGCTCTGTTGTTATTTTCATCCCGGTTACCCTTCCCATGCTAGAATTTACTAAAAACTTTATATTTTAATCACACATGGACTCTGAATCTGAATTATTTTATTCCGGGACTGCTGGACTATCTTATCTTTGCTAAATACCATTTTTTCAATATCTCACTATCACCCAACACTTATCCACCAAAAGTATGGAGAGCTGACGTGGTGTAGTGGATAAAGGGGTAGACTAGGACCCCTCGCTCCCTGGGTTCGAATCCCCACCTCTGCCATGAAAGCCCACTGGGTGACCTCGGCTCCGTCAAAAATTAGGCCCTGCCTGGCCTACTCTCACAGGGTTTTTGTTGTGAGAGAACGGAGGCAGGTAGAAAGACTTTCTAAGTGGCTTTGAGTCCCAACCCGGGATACAAATAAACAAATGCAAATGTCAGCCCCGCCTTGGGTACAGGAAGCTGGCTGCGTGGACCAGCTGAGCGCTAATTCTGGAAGAACCGCTTATCTTTGCAGAGAGCAAGATGGCCGACATTGTGGCACCTGACCCCTGACATCAGAGTCCTTTGGGTGTGAATGAATGCCTTCCTGGGATGTTTCAGCTCCCCTTGAACAGTTTAGCTCCCCTTGAAGGATCTGGCATGAAACTAAGCCAGGAATGCAAAAAGGAAACACCGGGGAAACCGACAGGCCTCTCTGCCCTTTGACTACACAGATGAGGGTGCAGGGGACGCTCGACAGAGTGGCGTGAGGAAAGTTTGCCTCAGCCAGAGCAAGACAGAGAAGCTCCAGAAGGGGAAACCCGGGAGGAAGACCCGACATGGCATCCCTCGAAAAACTGCTCTAGAGAAGCAGAAAGGGGGTGATTCAGGAGGCCAACGAGTAGCAAAGTTCTGTGACCAGGAGAATAGGTGTCTCCTCTGGTTTCTTTTCTCCCTGCTACTGAAAGAAAGTCTCAGCATCCGTAATCAGTGTCTGAGAACCAGGGTTCCCTCTAAGCTGAGTTAGTGTGAGCTAGCTCAGAGTTTTTTAGCTTCCGGCTCACAGTTTTGTCTTGACTCAGGAAGGAGGGCTCCAGTGCAAACCAATGTATGCAGTAGCCAAATCACTCGCTCACAACATTAATGCCAGTAGCTCACAAAGTAGAACTTTTTGCTCACAGGACTCCATAGCTTAGAGGGAGCATTACTGAGAACCAGCATGGTGTGGCAGTTAAAGGGTGGGACTAGGAACTGGAAAATCGACACTCAAATCCCTATGGTGCCATGGAAGCTTGCTGGGTGACCCTGAGCCAATCACACACTCTTATCCTGACCTGCCTCACAGGGTTGTTGTGGAGATAAAATGGAGGAGACAAGTGTGATCTCTTCTCCCATTGGGGAGAAAGGTACAATATAAATTTTAAAAAATGAAACAGATGCATGTAGTTTCTTCTTGACCAAAACACTGAGTACAGAAAACAAACAAGCACTGTATAAATAACACAGAGTGCACAACGGTCATGCAAAGGAAATTTATATAATAACAAAAATAGTGAAGGATTTTTCCTACATATACATGATTTAAGTCTTCTGTACATCATCAGTACTTGATGAAGGTGATATTTACCTTTTGGTACCTTTTGGTTTTGTTTATTGTTTATTGTTAATATTGATAATAATGATTTGGATTTTACTTACAATTCTAGTAGTTTGAACTCTTTGAAGAAGAACCCTCGAAACGAAGATCAAAATCCGGAGTCTTCGTCAACTACTTATGAACTTATGTATACTATGTATGGGCTTGCACATTTTATGATGTAATCTTGCTTTACTGATATATGTGGTCCCTTGTTATTTTTGTTAATCTTGCTTTTGTTATAAATTTCCTTTGCATGACCTCTGTGCACTCCATGGTCTGCGTTAGTTATACAGTGCTTGTTTGTCTTCTGTTTCTTCTTGACCCCCATCTCCCCCCCCAAAAAAATTGTCTCACACGGGCCAGATTCTAGACTGGAAACTCCTCCGGGAGGAAAGAACCTTCTGTCACGTCACATGAATGGAGCTCTAATGGTAATATTCTGTAAGTATATCTTTGCAGCGCAAGCCAAGTGTGGAAACAGCCAGCATGATGTAGCATTTAGAGTGTCAGCCTTGGAGGGGACGCAGCCTTCGAACCCCCCACTTTTCTGGGTGACCTTGGGCCCTTTGCTTTATTGTGAGGACAAAATGGAGGACGGAAGAACAAGGTCGTAAAGCGGCTTTGGGTCTCCACTGGGGAGAAAAGCAGGACATGAAATAAATAAATCCCTGCCGCCTTGTGTTCCACAGGCAGTCTCAGCTCTGTACTGCGGCCCATTTCCTCCACATCACCATTTCTGCTTCAAGAGGAACAAGCAACGTCTGGATTTTGGTCCAATCAACTTTAATAGAGGCAGGGGTCTTTTCCTGCGGGAGTGCACAGGAGCGGAGCTCCGGCAGTAAAGAGCCCAGGGGGCGGGCACATGCAACAAGCCCCACCCCCTGCTCCCAGCAGCCCTCAGTCAGAGCAAGAAGCAGCCAGGTAAGTTGCAGAGCTCCCCCCCCATCCACTCGGTCCAAAACAGTCCAGTGGCACCTTTAAGACCAAGTTTTATTCAGGTACAAGCTTTCCCTCCTCTGCGAAGACAGATCTGCACGTTCCTCCCCCACCCCCCCAATAGCTAGCAATCCAAAAAAGTCCAGTGGAGCCTGAGCGGTGGGTGTTGCCTTCTGACATACTTCCGGTGATGTCAGGGGGTGTGGCATATGCAAATATGTTATGCTAATGAGCTCCTGCACCTCTTTTTCTACAAAATGACCCCTGCTTCCCCCCCAATAGCTAGCAATCCAAAAAAGTCCAGTGGAGCCTGAGCGGTGGGTGTTGCCTTCTGACATACTTCCGGTGATGTCAGGGGGTGTGGCATATGCAAATATGTTATGCTAATGAGCTCCTGCACCTCTTTTTCTACGAAATGACACCTGAATAGAGGGGCTCTCTTCTGCCAACACAGGCGCTAACCAGGGCTAGCCATCGGTGTGTGTGTTAAATGCCATCAAGTCAGG